TTGGGCCGAGCGATCACCTAATTTACCAACGGCGTGGGTTATCACCTCTGAGGCTATGTTTTTAGCGGCTGATTTAAGATGAGGCTTAGCAATGGCAAAACCTCTTTTCATCAGCGGTGCAACAAAACGAAATAATTTTGAGAATATAGACCCTATGCCTCTCCCGTACATCACGGGAGCCCCGCTAAAACCAGGGAGAGCACCCCCTACTTGATTTTCATAATAGCTCACAAAACGGTGAGGATCGCGGGTATGATGTATCATTTTGTCACAGAAGATGCAAAGTTTTTTGAAGGTCTAAAATGGAGTTTCACAATAGTCTTTCCAAAAGTAAACTTCACCGGTGTATTTTGATCCGTTTTAATCTCTATGTGAATGTTTTCAATGTGATTCTTGATCACTGGAAGGTAGCAGGGGGGATTAAAATATTGTGTGATGACGTCCCCGTATGTTCCTTGTATATCGATCGTTCTCAAGAGCGGAGCGTATGTATCGCCAACCAGCTGATGTCGAACCAGATCACTGTAGACATATAGATGGGACATACCAGCTTTTATATCTGCTGGGTAGGGTGCCATCCTCTGATTGAACTGTAACCATTTCCCCGGTTCAAACCCCAACATGTAAGCAACAGGAGGATAAAAACGGAGGTGAAATTGCCCCCCTGCCTGAAATTCAAATCTCTTTTGAATGGTACTAAAGAGAAAATAAATATCGGAGCCAATTTTTCTAAGAAATGCATGCAGCTCGAGCCTGAGCTGCTCTATGTTGTGATAATATCCTCCCCTAAACCTCTGACGGTGGACCTCACTGTCTGACTCTCCTTCTGAGGGTTTATTCCTCCAATCAAAGTAGGCATCCCCATTAGATATGTTAAACCAGGTATGCGGATATGAAATCTCTGTCAAGGCCACTTGCCACCGTCCCTCTAAATTAAGATGCTGTGCTAAATCTACATGGTAGCTAGAGCTCGTATTATTTTTAAATACTTCGAGACTGGCGTTGGAAGGTAAAGTCACGTAAAACCCCTCTCCGGAGGCTTGATCCATGTTGTAATGACTACAAATCAAATGTATCTGTTTTTTTATATATTTTTTAGGTCTCTTGCTTTGACCCAGCTGTTAAACTTCTCAGGCCAGTTTTTCCAGCGCACCAGCATTTCTTTTCTCCCCCTGATACTACGTTCCTCTAAGATTTCTGCAACCGGAAATGCTTTGTCCTTAGAAATCAAAACTTTCTGCAATTCCGCTTCATAGAATGTACCCTGTATAGGCTCTCCGTCATAATCATTCAGTTTATAAACGGGGGGTTGACGAGGAATGCATTCTGTCACTGTAAAAAGTTCATCTGTATAACTCTGTTGATATTTTTTATCAAACACTCCTCTCAGTTTTGATATTCTTACCAAATCCCCTACATTAAATTTCATCTTTAAATCATTTTTGCGCCTAATAGGAAATGTACCGTACAGGTTTTCAAACACTTGAGAGGTATTTTCTGACGTGACCTGCATAGGCGTCATTTTTATACTTTTATGATAGCTATTATTGTAGCTTTCAAGCAATTTCTGTAAGACATCCAAGTATCTACGGGTGTTTGTAGCTGTAAAAAACCTCCACATTCGCGTTTTTAGCGTACGGTTAAACCTTTCAACCACTGACGCTTTTAAGTCACTGGCCGTTGCAAAATGATTAATACCTTGTTTTGTCATTAATCTTTCAAAAGTCTTGTTAAAGAATTCTTTACCCGCATCCGTTTGTAACTTTTCAGGGTTCCGGCTGTCTTTTAAAATAGACTCAAATGCCTTAGAGACCTCCACCCCTGTTTTTTTCTTCAAGGGTCTAGCATATGCCCGTTTGGAAAAAACATCAATTACTGTTAATAAATAATTAAAGCCATCATTGTGTTCAGCCAAAGCCTGCATATCGCAAAGATCCGCCTGAAACTGATTTAGGGGTCGTGGTACAAAAACTCTATTTCTTACAAAATGTATCCTGGCAGGTTTATGCAAAGTATATGAATCCTGCTCAGATAAAAAATCTTTGACGCATTCTACATTTACTTTTTTTCCCATTTCATCCTGTAACGCTCTATGGAGTCTGTCTACTCCGCCAAAACTAGCCGGATGTGATGGATTATAATACACTTTTTTCATAATTCGTTTTTCAGACATGTTTCCTGCTGCTCTCTTTGAGGGTATTTGAAAACAACAACGGGATACAAGAGTCTTTATGATTTTTTTTTTTTTTTTTTTTATTAGTTTTCACAAACATCATCCTCTCAACACAGTCAATGTTAATTTCAATACACTCCCTCCTACAATATGGTAAATATTATTATGCAATCTTATCACTTCAGTCAAGGTAATTTTTATTTATTTTTTAAACATTTTTTTACACAATAACTCACAAAATCAACAATATGTAACATATTTTCTACAATAATCACCCATTATCAATTAATTTTTCCCTTCCAAAAGTCCGCAACTTCATTCATCTCCTTGATCTTGGCCTCATCTTCTCCGATCAACATGTCGTACAATTTGTCAATTTTCTCACCGATGCGTCGTGTCATTTTGAGGTTGTGAAGAAAGGCCTCGGTAGCACCATGGACCCTGTATACAGACACTTGGATGTTTCGCGCATGAAGCGCCCGTTGAATGGTAGCAATGAAACGATCCGTCCAGAGCCGCTTTAACACCTCATCATAATGCCGCCTGAGGAAGTAGTCAGGCATGTCAAACAGACACTCGTGTTGCATCTGGCTCGGGTGGTCCGTTATACAACCGTTACAAATAGAACTTCTATATCTAAATAGAACTTTCTTCAGCAGTCGAAGCACCACAGTTTTCACTGTGTTCACAAACACGGCGGAGAGCACCCCGTCAGGCTCATCTGTTCTTTTGGGAGAGTCTGGTGGTGAGACGCTCGGAACCGACGATGTTGAAGAAGGAGAAGAAGGCCAGAAGGGTGATGGAGGTGGTGAAAGAGGGGAGATGCAACCAGAGTCCGTGTCTAGCATGAAAGGGGTCCCTGGCAGCCCTGCTAGTGGTGGTGGTGAAGCAGAGGGGCTGGAAGTGGCGCTCTGCGCCTGCTGTGTTGCTGCTGCTGATGCAGGATTAGTATCGAGGCTCTCATGCTCTCGATCCGTACACCACCAAGTAGGCATATTGCTCATGCTAAAATGGGTCATCACCAGATGTGTTGTAGAAGGGGTAGCTGTCTCCTCTGACCCTGGATGTGGTAGAAGAGGTAGAGAGTTTTCTATGAGTCTGCTGGCTCGAAGACATGGTATTTCAGATTTAGGCCTCCTTTAAATTGTGTTTTCTTAGGGGCAGGCTTAGGGGGCGTTGTTGGAGGAGGAGTCTTCTGTGAACGTTAGAGTCTTTTTCATTTGCAGAATCTCCCAGGAGGTCTGACTTTTTTTGAAGAGATCTTTTAGCTTTTCTGCTTTTTCAAACATCATTTCCATCCAATCCTCGACAGGTATCCTTAATGAAGTCTGAAACACGCCACATTCAGTATTGAAATACTGCAAGACAAATTCATCCAAGGCTTCATCTCCTTCACTCTTCTGATGGCTTGCACGGTAGAACCATCTACCAGAAGCTGAGCTTTTTGTCTCCCAAACACTACAGGAAACAATTTTTTTAGGAACAAACACGGGTGGAACTTCCTGCTTGATTCTCACAGTTGTTTGAGTCTCCTTGTCTTTTGTAGCAGGTTCCTCGGACGTCGCGGCTTTCAGATTGTTTAAAACCAACAGAGTCAGCACAGCCCAGTCCGTTGATGTGAGCGTTGCTTTTGCTGTGAGGGGTCCAAATGTTTCACCTTTCTCCAACTGGTAAAAACAAAGTTCGTTTACATCATAATTGAATGCATACCCCCAGACACGTCCTGAATCTAAATTCCATTCCTCATGAAGTGTATCGGGTGGCGGCGTCTGGATCCGACTCAAGTACAACACTCGTTTCTTCGGGGCTCCTCCTGGGGTTGAGTTTTGATAACTCGTTACAGGTGTCTGGCTGATCATCTTCGAATTGACTGCTCTCTTGCTCATGTTTAGGTTGTTTTGGAATAGTTTCGTTATATGATTCTGAATGACTAAATGGACTCCTTTTATTTTCACAGACTCCCATCATTGGCCTATGGTAACCCCTCCTAGTCTCTTGTCATTGGCTCATGGAAACTCTAGGCTACAGCTTTGGAGTGATAATGATGGCAAGTTTGTAAGACAAAGCAATAGCAAAGTAATTTGGAACACACTCTTATTTTGCTGCATGCTGTTGAAGGTAATTTGTAATGCTGTTTAATTTTTACTCACCGTTATACCATTTTACTGCTTTACTGTCATTATTTCAATTTATTCTTCACTTGTTTACTGATGGTAAGTTTGTCACACAAAGCTTTAGCAAAGATTTTGAAGGTAATTAAAAAATGCTGTTTAATTTTAACTCACTGTTATACTATTTTACTGTAATTATTTCATCTTATTCTTTAGTTCTTAAATGATGGTAAGTTTGTCACACAAAGCTTTAGCAAAGATTTTACAAAGTTTAATTTTGGAACTCACTCTTATTTTGCTGCATGCTGTTGAAGGTAATTTTTACTCACCGTTATACCATTTTACTGCTTTGCTGTCATTATTTCAATTTATTCTTCACTTGTTTAATAATAAAGACTGACTTGATTCCAGAGAAACCTCCTACTGATCCTTTGCTGGCCCCGGAGATTCCTCCTTTTACTTATAACTCACTGCTATACTTTTTTAATGATAAATTTATTGTCACAAACACCTCCTAGTTAATTCATTCAAGTTGTATTACTTAATAAAGTCTTTAAATCAATGAAAAACACACAATGGAAGGATGTACGCAACCCTCTTATCAGTTACATACAGACATATTTCCGGTTGGGGCGGGACAGGATGCACCCCCTCTTATCAGTTACATACAGACATATTTCCGGCTGGGGTGGGACAGGATGAACCCCCTCTTATCAGTTACATACAGCCATATTTCCGGTTGGGGCGGGACCGGATGCCCCCCCTCTTATCAGTTACATACAGACATCCGGTGGGGTGGGGGGACCGGAAATAGCTGTCAAAAATGAGTTTGATGGAATGTATTGGATACTTCTCTCTCTAATGTCAATTGCCCATGGGGGGCAGAGTCCATGTTTCCTCTCTGAACTCTTGTATGAGTGTCTTCAAAAGGGTCCAGACAATGTAAAGGTCAAAACTGAACACATTACTGATGAAGAAACAAGGTCACAGGTTCAGTTGGTGAGCATATTGTCCTTGGATTGCGTCATATTTACAAACTATTCATTCAAACAAACATTCATACAATTTTAACAGTAAAGCTAACAGCTGTATGTCTTCATTCTCAATAAAACATTAAATAAAGCCATCTATTATTTTAATATTTTTAGATCTTACAGGCTGAGACTGATTCACAACTGCAAGAGGCAGTTGCACAGGCAGCCAGCTTGATCAGTCTTGCTGGTCACAATGTTCGCATAACCCTGGAAAACAAACAAGAGACTGCTTTGGACTTGGCTCACTGGTATGTCCTCCAGCGAACCCGTGCACCGTTTGAAAGGTATGTTTATGTCTGAGCACTTACTATAAGTGTACATTGGCAGAAAAACAACTGTTAGGTTTATAGTGGTAAAATGTAAAAAATACAAGAGACTGAAGAGGAAAGCATAAGAAAAAGCTTACTTTTGAGTTGTTACTATATATGGAATTATGGATGAGGAGTTCCATTTTATAGTGTGTTTAAGTGAAAGTATAATTTACTTTTTTCTTCTTTTTCATTAGGGACCTTACTAAACTATACATGTAAAAAAAAAAAAAAAGTTTGCACTGGAGGTTCAAAATCACATGAACTACACATTACCATTTGTTTCCTTTTTACTAGGTTCAGAGATGGGTTAACATCTCTTGGTGTCCTTGATGCTATCCAGAGATACCCTCTACAAATAAAGTGCCTTTTTGTGAAGCCCGAAAAGGGTTTAACAGCTGCTGATGTGGAGAATCTCCTCCAGATCATACACTCTGAAAGAGGGAGTAATGCATTCCGAGAAGAGTGCCGGACCCTGGCTTTCTGGCAAGACTATCTTCAGGATGCTGAAAGTAAGTCTGGCATTTGGCACAGTGTTTCAATATGAGACATTATTTGGGGTTAAAGCCCTGCGGCTCTTCTGTCTGTAGCAGAACCTTACTGACGCGCTGGTTGATTATTGTCTTCTGCGGTGGGTCAAATGGTCTTGAGCTGGAATGAGCATCTGTCTTCCTAGTTCAGGTGGTGAATAAATGGGAGAGAAATGTGTGATGCTCCCTCTCCCCTGGTCTCTCATCCATATATCGCTACTAAATCCTCCTCTACCTCCACCACCCACAAACTTGTCTGCTGATACCTTTGCTGCCTTCTTCACAGGCAAAGTGGAGGCTATAACTTGCCAATTCTCTGAAACACTCAAACTCAACCATTGTAGCAGTCCTACTACATCTTTTCCTCTGCCCTCCCAGGTCAGTGGTTGTTCACCTCGTTTAGTCCTCTCACAGAGAGCGAACTATCAGAACTCTTGACCTGTAGCTAGGACCCAACTACATGCCCACTGGACACGATTCCTATGAATCTCCTCCAAGCCATATCTCCTACTGTGGTCCCGACAATCACTCATGTGATAAATACTTCTCTGGCTTCAAGAACATTCCCGAACACTTTAAAAAGGGCTCAAAAAACCATAGTTGAGAATTATCGACCAGTGTCTCTTCTACCTTTTTTATCCAAATCTATTGAACGCGCAGTATTCAAACAGGTCTCAGAATTCCTCTCAGGGAATGACCTCCTAGATCCATATCAGTCTGGTTTTAAGAGTGCCCACTCTACTGAAACGGCTCTTCTGTCTGTAACAGAAGCCCTAAGGTCAGCTAAAGCTGCAGCCCAATCCTCGGTTCTTATCCTGCTTGATCTATCAGCTGCCTTTGACACAGTCAACCACAGGATCCTGCTATCCGCTCTCTCAGCAATGGGCATCTCGAGTAAAGCACTCCTGTGGTTCAAAACCTACCTCTCGGGGCGTTCCTACAATGTTTTGTGGCAAGGACAATTCCTTCCAATGCCTCTCCACAGGTGTGCCCCAAGGCTCAGTGCTTGGGCCCCTTCTCTTCTCAATTTACACCACCTGACTGGGGCCAATCATTCGCTCGCACGGCTTCTCCACCTGAAGGTGGCAAGCCTGGGAAGCTGGGTTGAAACCCAGCTTCTGGTACAGGCCATGGTTATCTCTCGCATTGGCTATTGCAATGCCCTCCTAACAGGTCTCCCTGCTTGTGCGGTGAAACCCTTACAAATGGTTCAGAACGCAGCAGCGCGTCTGGTTTTTGATCAGCCCAAAAGGACCCATGTCACTCCATTACTCAGTGACCTCCACTGGCTCCCCGTGGCCTCCAGAATCAAATTCAAGTCACTAATGCTTGCATATAGAGTGACTACTGGGTCTGCACCCATCTACCTAAACTCCATAATACAAACTTACATTCCTTCTCGGCCGCTAAGCTCCACCAAAAAACGCCGCCTGGCTCTGCCATCCCTTCACACAAAGCAATCCCAGTCACGGCTATTCTCATCTGTGACACCACGATGGTGGAACGAGCTACCACACGCCATCAGAGCAGGGGTGTCCCTCTCTAACTTCAAGAAGCTCTTGAAAACTCATCTCTTCCAGGAACACTTCCTCTTATAACACCTCTAACTCCTAACCTCTAACATACACTTCCTGTGCTCTTCTTCTTCTATCCCCTACAATGATCTTGTATTGATTGCACTTTTTGTTAACTCTTACTTCCTTCCCTAGGTATTTACCCCATTGACGTGATATGTACTGTGAGCTCTTACTAGTATTTATTGCTGTGTATTGTCAGTTTTCTGTTGATGCTTGTATGTCCTCAAATGTAAGTCGCTTTGGATAAAAGCGTCTGCCAAATTAGTAAATGTAAATACCACTGGTTAGCTATCGCCGCTGCTTTGCCACAACCGCTGAGCAGTTTCAGTTCTTTGTTCTTTTGTTGTGCACAACAATCACAGAAGTAGTAGTTGGCAATGAAAATCTAATGCCTTAGGCCCCCTCCAACAATGCTAATAAATTAACTATTAAAAAAATCATGAAAGTTAAGATATAGGGCTAAAATATAAGGATATAAATTTGCGAAGACAGTATTGCAGATGAATAAACTGAATGTAAAAATGAATGTAGTGATGTATACTGTATAAAGGTGCATCTCAGTAAATTAGAATATCATCAAAAAGATCATTTTGTCCTTTAATTTAAGTCAAAAAGTGAAACTTTCATAAATTCTAGGTTCATTACACAAAGTGAAATATTTCCTTTTTTGTTTAGATCTTGATGATCTGTATACATAACTAGAAGTAATAACAAAGTTAGGTGTAAACTGTTGTAAAATGATAAGTTAAATTTAGTCAAATAATCTGACATGCCACATAAAAGGGTAAACCAATAGCAAAGCCCGTTAGAGGGCTCCACACATTCTCATCGAAGTGGAGTTTCATCCAGGTAACTACTAATGATCTCACTCCTTCTTAAACAGCTTTAAATGAGCTGAAGTGGCTTTGTAAAGACCAAAACCCCAGACATGGCTTGGATTTTGGCTAATTAAGCTGCTTCCCTTCTTTGATTACAAGAAGGCTTGAACCCGCAAATTGCAGCTTTTGGATATACTCTAAAATGTTTTTGGCTGCAACATAGTGGGACATGACATTGTCGAAAAAATTATAGAGTTTTCTTTATTTGATTTCTTCACCATGTAATACATTTTAACATTTATATACACCATCAAACCAAACAGTAATGGCTGTTGTGCAAATATAATGTCACCAAACTCCTCCATATTTCTTTTTTCTTTCTCTTTTTTTGCAGAATTCTTCACTATTTTGCCTAGATTGTTGTTAGCTTTGTCTATTCCATTATGGGCAACCCTCCCAATTTCCAGCATCATTTAAATAGCTAAAAGTTAATGCCTAATGCTGGTATAAGGGAATTTAACTATTCACCCTTTTTACATTACTTTTGCATTACTCCAGAGATCTAATACTTGATTACTATATGAAAATACTTCTTTTTTTATGTTTTACAGTTGAAAATGATGTCTCTCTGGAGGATATTCTTGTTTTCTTCACTGGATGTGACAGCATTCCAGCACTGGGTTTCTCTCCGAAGCCAAGCCTTGAGTTCATCACCCACTCCCGATTTCCAGTAGCCAATACTTGCGAAAATATTCTTCGCATACCAGTTTATGCAGTATACACGGATTTTAAATCTAACATGGATTTTGCCATACGCAATTCACCAGGATTTGGAAGAGCGTGAGAGGTAATATTATGAAGGGCTTGTGGAGCTTGAGATATGATGAGGATATATTTGTTTTGTTTTTTAGTGCAAGGTTTATTTCCTTCTGTTATTCCCCAAGACGAAAAATGCACAGTAAAACAAGTAAGTTTTATTTGAAGATATTTCAAGCCATGTTTTTCTGTTTTAGATTTAATAAGGTGCACCATGTAAACTTTTTTTCAGTTGATAAATGTGAGGCACTTTTTGTTGCATTTTTGTCAGCCAGTCCTCTAACCTGAGAAACAATATCCTGTTTGTCTCCACCCTCTGATACGGCCCATAACAGTGTTAGATTGATAAGTGCCCAAAATACCACAGATATGGATACAATGTCGGAAATCCCTGTTGCATTTGGGCTATGACAATGCCAGGGGCTTGGTTAAGTTTGGTCACAAAGCCAATTTGATTATGGTTGTGAAAAGATCATGGTAAGGGTTAGTATGAGATCATTACATGATAATTGTCCGAATGGTAAAAATAATAAGCACAGTTATGGTTAATAGTGCTCAGATTTGGGGTTGAAGGCTAGATGTAGCTAAACCACTGTACTTAACTGTGGGTTGTTTAAAAAACAAAAAAAAACAGGTTGCTCAAACAACCCATTAGCAAATTTTGTACAGGAGGAAGGCTCACTGTAGCTACTTGTTTTTATCAGTGTTGGCCAGCCCCATTGCTATGGCTCATTATTCATTATATAGGTTGTGGTATGGCCTTCTAACAAATAAATTGTTCTGTGTTCCTACTTTGTGTGTACTAGCTTACTGTCCTTTTAGTATGTATTGTGGCGGTATATGTGCATCCCAGGCTTTAAATGTAATATTTTTTCATTAGATACTTAGAACTACACAAAATTAGTTTAAGAAGTAAGAAAAATAGGGTTCATCGTCATCAATAGTGTTACATTAATACATTATGTATAATAATACATAATGTTATACACACAGCATGAATTTATATGGTGATAACTTCTATGGGTTTTCATGAAATAAAAATGTATTATAAGCATTTATGCATCTTCTGTCATATGACCTGTAGACCTAAGCCTAATCCCTGTATAACTTCTGATGAACAGCAACAAAACTACTTATAACAAAACTAAATATTTCTTTGAAGCAGGTTACACGCTGTGATAAAAAGTTCAATTCCATGATTTCCATCGTCAATCAAGGGATTAATTATCCTTAACTCAATGTCCGACTGATCGTGATAGGGGCGTTGCAGATGTACATGATGGAGTCCTTGATGTTGAGGCAGTTGGAGCATTCCAACTGTCCACAGTTGCATTGGCGACCTACTTTCCATTGTCCTTAAGCTGTGGTGGTTCCACTGCCTCACAAACTCGTCCACAGATCTGTTAATGCTTGGAAGGTAAACATGGTAAAGAGCCCTAATGTGAAGCGGGTCAGTGCTATCTAAAATCCCAACATTTTCCATAAAGAGGAAAAGGTCTTTGAAGTATGCTGACACCACCCTGTTTAGTTCTCCCACAATCTTTCAATTCTTTGATTATGAACACTACGTCCAACCATAAAACTTCCCCTGTTTGCCCCTCGATTCTCAATCATAAACCGTGCAATATCAATATTTTCACTACCAGCATCACTCCTGACATGATGTGGGAGTCCAAATACATCAACAGCATCAATCAATACATCAAAAGTTGCAAGGCAGTTGATGCTCTGTTGTCTGTGCAACATCTCAGGTAAGTAATGCAGCGGCTATAGCCATCAACTCCTCCATGAAACACAAATCCCCATGGATTCAACTTGTGGTTTGTGTCAATATGCCTGGAATAAGAAGACATTATTATTATTATTACTACAAACAACTTGGTTGCTCATCAAATTTTTACTTTTTTTTCTATGCTGTCCTATTTTTTTCTATCAAGAAGGCAATTTTTGCTTGATTAGAAAAATGTTACAACTCCAGAGATCATTGATAGAAGTGTTCAATATAAAGAAATATAAGTAGCACTGTACATTTCAGTTCAGTAACAACATTGTAATAGTGGAGTAACAGTTAATTAAAACTTGATATTAAAGAAGTAATTAAGTTGTACCATTGAGCCAGACTACACAGAAACCAAAACAAGTGTTTCCAAATGATCATTATGCCTCTTGATGTTTGGTTTAATCTAATAACAGGTAGTTTAGCATGTCACGGCCCTGATCCATGGTTATTACACGAAAACTACCATCAAGAGTTTCCATCGAACAAGTCCCATCATTGAAAATATCATTTGTATTATCTTGAAACAAAAGAGAACATTTGAAACATAAGGGAGGATGAATTTCAGCTGTATCACATGGTAATTGCCCATTTGGTTTCAAGGTAATACAAATGATATCTTTAATGTTGTCACTTGTTAGCTGGAAATACTTGATGGTAGTTTTTGTGTAATAACCATGGATGCTGATAGTAGTCTATAATATTATATATAAAATATTAACCTATATTACTGTATTATCTGGTTATTACTCCATTATTGTCACCATACTAGCATTTTTTAACCAATAATGCACTGATATATTAGCTGGTTACCATATTGTTACCATAACATACTATACTAACTAGTTGTGTGTTGTTGAAATCATTAAATGTGATTCACTATTATTACCCGGTTACATAACTTTCAGTCTTATTACCCAGTTAATAATTTTCACAACACATACCACACTTAATTTGGGACAGAGACATTGTAGACCCTCCGTTGAATTGCCCTCCGTCCTCTTAAGGCTCTTCCCACTGGGTCTACTCTTCTTAATCGTTCGCGCACTCGCCAACGCTCAACTCTGATCCCTCTCCCTCTCAAACCACCAGTGATGTAAGTCTCTCCTGAGCCAGGGGTTTGTCTAAGAACTTCAGTAATAAGACGATCAAGATCATCATTTGAAATGTTAGTAAAACTCCCATAGTCCAGTAAACCAAGTTGTGTCCTGTGGTTGTACAGTGTGCGAATGTTTACAGACAACATTCGAGAGATGGCCATCCAGGTAATCCTAAATCCCGCATGTGAGTCAGCTGAACAGCTGATATGTTGTACCTTTAAAAGAGAAAAAAAAAGACGTGTTAATGTGTGCTGAAAAACTCTAACTACTGTTACAAGTAAAACTATTGTATTGGAAATATTAGGCTACTTCAGAAAAAGAACAAAAGTATCAGCAGTACCAAAAAAAGCAAACAAGTACTCATCAGAATAATATATATTATATTCAGTGGTGGACAATAATGTTGTTCATTTACTTGAGTACTGTACTGTTTTGAGTATCTGTGGGTCTTTACTTGAGTTTCTTCTCTTTTTATTTTTACTTATGACTTTTTATTTTTATTTTCACTCCACTACAGTTGAAAGTAGTGTGTATATATATATGTATAAATTTTCTTTTCTAAAAATTGCGATCAGCCATACGCTTTGTTCGTCACAGGAGAAAGAAACTATCACAGCAAACTACTGCTCCTACGCGGTCAATCAAGTTTAAAGTGCTTGCTGCATTTTTGTTCAGTGTTTAGTTTTGGGTAAACAAAGTTCATTCAATCAGTGCATTTGCTAGGTTGTTTCAGACCTATTCTGTAAATGCATTGTGGCAACAATACAACAATGTGTTAACATTATAAAGAAAATGGACTTCTGAATGTTGAGTAGTTTTAAAAGCAAGTATTCTGATTCTTTCACTTAATTTCATTTAAATTTGACTGAACAAAACTTCTATTGAAGTAAGATTAGACCAGTTGCAGCAAATGAAAATTTTCAGGTGAAGTACAAGTACCTCAATTTTGTACTTACATACAGTACTTAACTAAATGTAGTTACTTTCCACCACTGCATAACACCTTAAATTAATAGTTTTTGCTAGCAACTTATATATACAAAGAAAACTTCTATATTCTTGGCCTGCATCGACCTCTATCCCAATATGCTTGTTTCCATTTATATCACTTACCTCGGCCTTCCTCTCTGAGATGCAGAATGTGTTCCCACACCAAAAGCTTCCATTTGAAGTGTTACTTCAGCCGACATCTCCCAAAGAGACTCATAAATTCCTTCAAGAATGATGCATAACGTTCTTTCAGCAACGTTTTGTTGAACAGGATTGCTCATAAGCACTAAGAATGTCGCAATAATGGACATATGATCCTCAAGTTGACGCGATATAATTTCCAAACTGTTTATGTCGTTTGGAGTATGTCCAGTTGTTGCAAAAAACCCCTGCAGTTCAGCAAAGTATTGGACTATTTCAGCCGATGCCATTTTGTAAATCCAGGGAATTCATAAAGGTATCCCTTTGATGGCATGGTTCATTCCATATATTCATACTTTCATTCCATATATTCAGACTTCCATTCCATATATTCAGACTTTCATTCCACATATTCAGACTTTCATTCAATATATTCAGACTTTCATTCCATATATTCAGACTTTCATTCCATATATTCAGATGGAGAAACTTCATAAATATATATATATTTCCTAAACGGCATGCCATAATATATATATAATCTATTACTCCACTATTACAACGTTGTTAATGTAATGTACAGTGCTACTTATATTCCTTTATATTGAACACTTCTATTAATAATTTCTGGGGTTGTAACATTTTTTCTAATCGAGCAAAAATTACCTTCTTGATAGAAAAAATAGGACAGCAAGGGGGGAAAAAAAGTAAAAATTTGATGAGCAACCAAGTTGTTTGTAATTTAAGTCTTCTTATTCCAGGCATATTGACACAAACCACAAGTTGAATCCATGGGGATTTGTGTTTCATGGAAGAGTTGATGGCTACAGCCGCTGCATTACCTACCTGAGATGTTGCACAGACAACAGAGCATCAACTGCCTTGCAACTTTTCCAGGGAGCTGTTGATGTATTTGGACTCCCACATCATGTCAGGAGTGATGCTGGTAGTGAAAATATTGATATTGCACGGTTTATGATTGAGAATCGAGGGGCAAACAGGGGAAGTTTTATGGTTGGACATAGTGTTCATAATCAAAGAATTAAAAGATTGTGGGAGAACTAAACAGGGTGGTGTCAGCATACTTCAAAGACCTTTTCCTCTTTATGGAAAATGTTGGGATTTTAGATAGCACTGACCCGCTTCACATTAGGGCTCTTTACCATGTTTACCTTCCAAGAATTAACAGATCTGTGGGTGAGTTTGTGAGGCAGTGGAACCACCACAGCTTAAGGACAATGGAAAGTAGGTCGCCAATGCAACTGTGGACAGTTGGAATGCTCCAACTGCCTCAACATCAAAGACTCCATCATGTACATGTGCAACGCCCCTATCACGACCAGTGGGAAATGTCAGATTATTTTTTGACTAAACTTATCGTTTTACAACAGTTTACACCTAACTTTGTTATTACTTCTAGTTATGTATACAGGTGCATCTCAGAAAATTAGAATATTGTAAAAAGGGTAATTTTCCCCCCATAATTTCACTCAAAAAGTGATAGTCATATATTCTTACACAAAGTGAAATATTTCCGGCCTCTTTTGTTTTAATCTTGATGATTACACTTCCAGCTCATGGAAATCAAAAATCCAGATCTCAAAATATGAGAATATTTGAATAAAGAATGTATAATACAGAAATGGCGACCTTCTGAAAAAGGTTACTTTATGCACTTAGCACTTGGTCAGGGCTCCTTTTGCGCTGCTGAGGTGCTATGGAAGCCCAGGTTGTGTTGATAGCAGCCTTCATCTCGCCTGTATTGTTGGTCTAGTGTCTCTCATTGTCCTCTTGACAATACAACATAGGGGGGTTGAGGTCAGGTGCGTTGGCTGGCCAATTAAGCACAGTAAAACCATGGTCAGCAAACCAGTTACTAGTGGTTCTGGCCCTGTGGGCAGATGCCAAGTCCTGCACGAAAAGAAAATCGGCATCTCCATAAAGCTTGTTAGCAGAAAAAATCTCCTGATAGACACCTGTATGATTCTGGACTTGATAAAACAGTGGACAAACACAAGCAGATGACATGGCAACCCAAATCATCAT